CGTCGTAAGATCGAGCGCGTCGAAAGGACTAGAGTGGCACGGATTGAGCGGCGTGTGGTAAACAGGAGTGATTCGGACGTGTGGTTGTCGTTTGTGTTGACACGAGGATCAGAGTCTCGTAGAGCGAGAGATTTGATAGGACTAAGAGAGGCAACATTGGGATATGATGTGCCACTTCCGGTACGCTTAGAGGAAGGAGTTTGTGTGCCAATTCGGTATTACGGCACTTGGCTGGCGGAATGGGTTTTCTTGTGGACAGTAATTACAGAGGACAGAGGATTCGAATTTCCCCGACGAGTGGAGGGAATATGACATCTTGTGTTCGATGAGGCGCGAGATATAGAGATAGGGCTAATGCTTGCAGACGCTAGCAGAGCCTGGTGGAGATATGAGGTCTTAGCAGAGGCGATAGTGAGACGTCGACTGACTCGCATTACGAGAGACAGACCTTTCGTCACTCGAGTCGTGATCGGTCCTCCTCCCTTGATTTACCATCCAATAGAGAGTTGGCGGATGATCTTACCTAGGTTTGCCATAGAAGAAACTTACGGGAGTGTGGACTGCTTGACGAAAGCAGTCGACCATACTCTGCACGTGCTCTTGTTGGGACTAAAGCCTCAATTCCGAGAAGCATACTACGCCGTCTGCGTAAGGTGGGGACCTCCGGATGAGGAGACGCAGAGAGATCTAATAGACGCAACGTGCACGGTAGACTGTCTGAGACCGGTCGACTTAGTCGAATACTGTCGGAGACGTGTAGAGGAGAAGTACATTGGACTAGAGGACTTGAGGTATTTATTCAGAGAGCCGGAGGTACGCCGGATCGGGGATCGGTCGGAATTGAAGTAAGCAGGTAATTAGTGAATGAGGGTTTCACGATTACTGTCCTACTCAGGGCGCACGTAGAGGATAACCTAACTGAGCAGGAGAGTATCGTACAAGCCAGGGAATTTATTCGAGAATACAGACCAGGAGTTCTCGAATGCGTAACTTTTCAGACCAAGATAACGTATGAAGTAATGGTGTGGTCAGCAAGGTACCTACGCGCTGAGTTGTTCTTCGATGAGACGATAGCAGAAGCCAGGAGTAGGATATGAATCCCTTGTCATGACATAGCACAAGCAGCGACTATATAGATATAGACCTCGAGCTTCATATTCACTCAGGTGGGATCGCAGGGGATCCGATTCCTGGAGGAGTGTGAGCGAGAGGAACCCCCGCGTAGATACTCGAGGAATTGAGACGAGCGGTCTCTCTTCCCTGCGACGTTTTCCCTATGCTCGGGTGGTCTCTAGGCAGTTAGCGTGTGACAACGAGACCCTATAGATTCTCTTGAGGGTGAGCGTAAAAAAAGAACTGTCGGACAACGAGTTCAAAGAACTTGCTGAAGACGTCATACGGGAGCAGAGACTAGAGGCGCTGAAGGCGTTGACAGTACAGAGCTGGGTGGTATATGAGGTGATTGTATGCGTTAAAGGAAGAGTGCGCTTGGAGATAATTCGAGACGAGACGCCCGCGGAAGCTCGAAGTGATATGTGATAAATGTTTTAGGTTAAGAGAGAGATGGGTCCCAGGAGATGGAAGATCTAGAAAAAAGAAAAAAAAGAGTTAATGATCGAATTATAAAACCAGTAGCGGAACGGATTAAGGAACTCAGTAACAAGATTCAAGATAGTGGGCCCAACAAGAGTAAAACTGAGTTGCGTAGAATAGAAAGCGCGTCGAAGGCATTGGAAAGACTTTTCAGAAAGGATAGGGATTTTTTTGGGAGATGACGGCTAGAATTTTTAGAGAGCGTCAAGAGAAGAGATCATAGTAATAAGGGATCGCTCGAGTCGACATGAAGGAAAGAGGAGTTGAAGGAGACTGCGACGTCGGGAAGAAGGACAAATGCTGACGGGACGACAGAGAATGAAAAAAAGAATGAGCTTTGAGAAATATTCTATGCACGTCACAGGGAGGTCGAAAGGACCAATCGCTTGTGTAGTGATACAATTGGTGTATCTAGAGAGACAGCGTGATCGAAGAGGCGGAATGCACTAGAGACGCGGTCCAGAAGGCGCGGGTGACCGGACTCTGGGTAGGAGAGAGAAGTGCGCGTTTGATCAATTATTCATTGCGCCTGTCCCCCTACGATGGGCTGCCCTTGAGTAGAGTGTGGCGCGAGACTCCCAGGAAGGCTGAAAAACTTCTAAAGAGTGAGGCGGAAGTGTTAGGAGATTTTGCAAAAATCATAGTAGAAAGCTTTGTTCTTAGAATCTTCAAAGCGCACAACCAGTACTAGAAAGAGTACCTTCAGGTTTTCGCAGACATAGAGGATTTCGGCGACATAGACGACTTTGAGACGTTCTACGAACTCTTAGAGGAATCAAATGACAAAGTTTTCTTGGCGCTGGACCTAATCATGGCTGAATGTTAGGTGATTCATGGCGACGGGTAAGAAATGTCACTACCGAAGGCGGAGCTAGCAAGAAGGAGACCAAGATTTGGGGCTTGGGGTGACCCTTATGAACATGAACACGAGAAAGTACTTAGGGAGTTAAGCGCAATAGGCGGACGAGAGGTCTTCCCGTACGAAGTAATTAAGTATCAAGTACAGAACAGTGGGATTGAACGTAATTAATATTATATTATGACTGTGCGGTTTCGTGATTTATGAGTATACCACGTCGGTATATACCTGCCCCGAGAGAGGGAGGAGATATGCATATACGGTAGAACTTGGAGAAGGGCAGCGTGGGCATTAAGAGAAGAGGAGAAGAGGTTAGAAGGATTAGGGAAGATTGTCGAGGTCTGCGACGACATCACGATTTTTGACGGTCTGCCTAGGCCGCCCGTTCCATATAGAGGATTGGAGCAAAACAGATGGGAGGCAGTAGTGGATTTCATTCGAACGGTCAAGGCTGAGGTTAAGCTCAAGAGAACAACTAGAGGCGAATAGAATGAAGGTATGAGCGGAGAAACGACAGTCTGTGAACGAGAATTGCGGTCTAGAAGGGATAATTTTTTTGCTGGCAACCAGCCATCTGAGGAGAGATTTGCAACTATCTGCAACCTTTTGATTTCGCTAGGGAAGAGAGAAGCGATTTCGTATGAGGTAGAGAGATATGATTTTGTGAACAGCGGTTGGGAGGAGATACGTCTGTATGTGATGACTATCCGATTTATCCATTTAGACGTATATGATGTAAGGATCTACTTGCCTGCGGAGAGAGGGATAGACGTTGTTTATGGACGTTGTTAGGAGCGAGCAGAAGAGGTCGTGGAAGCTGAGCGCGATAGGTTATTAGCTCTAGGGAAAGACGTTAACTGCAGTACGCAGATAACGGTCTTTAAGGGACTTCCTAAACCCCCGACTCCGTGTCAGATCGCGCAAGAAAGGAACTTAGATACTGTGATTGGACTCGCTTTGAGGCGTCAAGCGCTAGATGGCCAGGGGCGGTGAGTACCCGTTAGCTGGCGCTGACATAGTGCGGCAAGGATTGAACGATCTAGAGAGAAGGACATCTATCGATCTGCGAGAGTGGTTACGAGCTTGTAGTCGCGACGAATTACACGTAATAGAGAGTGTCATTTCTAGGGGAGTCAGATGTTCTAAGACTGGGGTGTTAGAAGTCCGAAGAGGCGTCTCATGTATAGAGAGATGGGGTGGACGACTTTTCCTTGACACTGGGGTACTAGGAGTCGAGGGGACTCATGAGATTCGAGATGAGAGCGGGAGATTGGTAATGATATTGAGGGCGGTTGAGAGCTAGAGTTAGATACTTTGAGATCGACCGAGTCTGTTCAGGCATTAAGCCGGTTCTGACATTAGCTCCGGGCTACCAGCTCTTACATTAGGTCCGGGCTGTCGGTGCTGATACTAGGTCCGGGCTGCCAGTTCTCACATTACGTCCGGGCTGCCGGTTCTGACATTAGGTCTGGGCTGCCTACAAATTCAACCGAAGGAGAGAACAAGTATATGAAAACCGACGCTATGGGACCGAGTCCAGGCGAGGAAGAAGCTGTATACCGAGCATCACCGGACCGCGCTCTGCGAGACCTCAAGGAGCGTTTTCGACAGAACGCCCCTTTGAGGTGAGTGGAGCAACCGGACGACGGCGAGTCGGAGGTGATGGCGCCTCAAGCCGTCCCCGAGCCCAACAGGGCCGCCCAGTGGAGCGGGTGGAGATTCAGACCGAACCTTCGAGTTTTTGACGTGAATCAGTTATTCAACGTTCATTTTCGTACGAGCGCAGAGATGATAGAGGCGGTGGAGGAGGAGAAGACTGGAGGGACCAGTTCATTAGAGAGCAACTTTTGAGAGATATGGAGAGAGCTGCGATGTCCAGACGGATTTTTGACCCTGAGATGGGGGAATCACACTCCCTGCCATACGAGACGAGAGATAGGTTCATCATCTCGCATCAGCCTTCAGAATTGGATATCAGACCTCCCGTTTTCAAGGGATGTGGGATTACAAAATATCTTGAAAAGTGGGAGTTGCATGCCTACCGAAGTAGGTGGTCTGAGGATGAGATTATAGACAATTTTTTCTTCAACACAGACCCGAGTTTAAGTCGAGTTATAAAGGAAGCTCGACCAAGGGATAGAAGGTGGGCTACGTACAGAACCAACCATTATGAGTTTTTTAAGTTGGAAGACGTCAAATATTCAGTCCAAGATTTAAAAGCGTTGACTCAGGGAGAGGGCGAGAGTGTCCAAGCATTCGGAATGCGTTTTCAGAAGGTATTTGATGCCCTTATGGCAAGAGGGAAGTTGTTAGAAGTTGATAGATGCACGATCTTCCTTAGCCGACTACCCAGAGGGAAGCAAAAGGCGGTGCTGAGGGAGACGACACACGATAAGTTAGAATTCACTGCGTTACTTAAGCTTGCAATGAAGGCAGAGGCGGATGATTACAAGGATTTACTCTGGAGAGGTATGCAGCGCGAGGACCTTTCCCTCTATCAGGAGTACGGGACTGATAGGTGTCCAGATTTTAACGATCAGTCGTGGGCAGAGCGACGTTATTTGATGGACAGGGACAGGCCCCAACGGTCGAGTTAACGACGCAGTGATAGAGGAGATGAGAGAGATAATGAAGGGAATGGTCAGGCAAAGGGCAAATTTCGAAACGAAGGTCGCAACTACGTACCGGGATAAACCCAGGTCTCCTTACTCTTTGCGGTGGGACCGTAGGAACACGGATCCGTGGAGGAGCGTCGAGGATTGGAATCCTCGCACATTGGCAGATTACCGTGCGAGGGAGAGAGATGAAGATGATCGGAAACGTAGAGATGAGGATACCTGGCGACGTCGAGATGATGACATAGATAGAGATCGCCGACGCGACGGGTATCGAGGAGGAGACTCCTTTAGTCGAGAAGGCAGATCCGAGCAGTATCGGCGCAGTCCTGGGTACAGAGGAAACACCGAAGGATACCGGAGTCCAGTCAATTTCAACTCAAGGGATAGAGAGGACTCCCGCGGGCGTTGGGAATCAGATAGGGACCGCCGTGACGGATATCGTGGCGGTTACGAGAGGACAGAGAGAGGCGGAAGTCGCAGGGAAGAGCCACGCGGACAGTATCCCGCGTCGCCTGGATACCCGAAGTCCCCAAACTATCCGAGATCCCTTGGACCGTCCAACCAGGACGCGAGACGGTCAACTATTAGGGGTTCGGAGGAACGGCCCCCTACTCCTAGAAACTCCTGTATCTATTGCAGGGCTGACGATCACGTGAAGAGGGACTGCCCCGACCTTGGGCGGGCAATAGACGAAGGGCTTGTCGTGCTTGATGACCGCAAGTATGTCAAGTGGGCGGATAACCTTAGCGATGTATCGATGTTCCCTTCGATGAAGGAGAACGTTGAAGTTAGGCGGGTACAACCAAGCAAGGGTAAAGGAGTCGCAAGGAGTCAGAGTGTGAGGTTGAGTCTACCTTCTGATGAGGAGACTCCTATGACACCTATACGAGTGTCGGCGATTAAGTCCGCAAGGGCGTCCTCCTCTAAGAGGGCCGACACTGATTATGTGATGGCAAAGAAGGATGGGCAAAGGATTGAAGGTGAGGAAGTTAAACTCTCGCCACGCAAACGCGGAGCTAAAAAGTTTACAGTGAAGAGTACTTTGGATGATATAGATACAGTCGAGCCTCTCAGACGCGCGCTTAGGCAGCTTATGCAGTGCACGATACTAGAGTATTTGGCAGCATCAAGACCTGCTCGAGATGAGTTGCAGATGATCACGCGCAAGACGCGCATTCCCCTTAGCGATGAAGTCCAGATGGCTACCAAACAGGAGGTACTACCTTCTGTAGCGGTATCGAGAGTGGTCGCTAAGGCAGACCGCGCAGCAATGGTGTTCTTAGATGGAATGAAAGGGGTGTCTCCGGACAAGTTTTATATCCTAGGCAGTGGGACAGTACAGACTACACTCAATAACGAGGTAGTCCTGCATCCTGTAATTGATAATGGCAGTGAGGATGTCATCATAGATGAGGAGCTGGCGGTGCGATTAAGATTAGACCTTGATAGATCATATCAATTCGAGACTGAAACCGCTGATGGAAGAAAGCAGAAAGCCTCCAAGGTCTGTCACAAGGCGGCAATCGAGGTAGAAGGATTAATAGTGACGATGCTTGTTTTCGCAGTCAGGGATTGCAGCTCGGAGTTATTATTGGGGCGGACATGGTTGAGCCATATCCATGCGGTTACCATAGAGCGGTCGGATGAAAGCCAAATACTTTCCATTCAACGCCCGGATGGTGGGCGAATTATGATGGAGACGGTAGAGCCTCGTGATCCGAGGAACAGAGCGGTTCTAGCAGCGGGTAGTTGAAAACCGGTCACCCTTGCTAGTCGCTCTTTGAACTTTCGCGAGAAGAAGTATGGGTCGTTGCTTACGGAAGAAGAAGAACGGATAGTGGAAGTTGAGGACTTGGGAACTCGTGTCCGGGTGGGAGGAAACTCTTATCCTAAGATGGAAGACGAGGAATTTGGAGGGATGATCTTTGTGTCTTTTTTAAGGGCACAACTCTCTACGGGGGGCGACCAAAAAGACACAAGACAGTACCTCAGAAAGTTAAGCCGGCGACAGTAGCTCGTGAGTGATCCGCATTAGATGGCGTGTCTGAGGAAGAGATCGCTAGGGAGATTAAAGAGAAGAAGAGAAAGGAGCCGCAACGGCTGACAGAGAAAAGGATAGCAGAGATGGACATAGGAGATGGGAATTTGACTGAGCAAGAGAAGGCACGAGTGCTAGAAGTTCTTAAGACTTGTGACAAAGCTATAGTTTTCAGTGATGCGGAAAGAGGGAGAATTGACCCTAGGTATGCTAAGCCTGCTAGGATCTACACGATTCCGCATACGCCGTGGAATGACGCGGGGTGGAAGTTTGCTCAGAAAGAGAAGGAGGAAGTGATCTCCTTTCTCAAGGAGAAGATGGCATTATCAAGCGCATCGGCCCCCCCGCGAGCGTGGGCCCTCCCGGCCATGTCACGCAGGAGTAAAACAAAAAAAATCAAGATCGAGAGACAACTCGGGAACGACGCTAAGTATCCCGTGAACCACCGAGACGGACGCAGTTGCATCGCTCCTTCGTCGCTCTAGCCGGGTGCGCCAGCTATACATCCCGGGGTCCCCTACGACAGGATAGGTTCCTGCAGGGCATAAGCTTGTTTCCCTAAGTGGTTGTCACCACCCTTAGGGGCGTATCCCTACCGATCTACTGACCCACATGCGGAAGCTTTTAAATGCAATTGCAGAGGTAGGTCGGTCGAGGGCGTTTGCTCGTTCGCTGTAGCATAGATACGCTTGGTTAACGCTAAGCGAAACCGAACGCCGTCCGTTCTTAGGGCGCTGATCTCCAAGGTACGAAGCAAACGTTGGTCGACTATGATGACTTCAACCAAGCGTGAAACCCACAACTCGATCCTAGTCCATTTAACACATATTCAAGCGAACGTTACAATTACCACACATATAATTATATCAAAAGAGTCGATCATCGCCGAGACGAATAAATATTCAATCTGAAATGATAACTAAACGAAATCGAATCATCATATGAAACATTCAATAATACAATATCAAACCACCTCAGGTCGAGCTCCACAAAACAATCATACAACTGTCAACGAGGAGTTGGATATAGACAATAACATAGATGCAGCCGATAAGGTAGTCGGACTGCCTTAGTTTTGACTGGATGAGATGCGTTGCCAAAGTCATTCATTCCACCTACCGCCGACTCAAAATTTGATACGCTCACACATGTCTCCATACTTTCTCAATCTTATTGGATGACAAACTACTTGGTCAAGGGCATTTCTTGAAGTGTTGCATGCCTTTCCCTTTAGGAAGTGGTCTGGGGTACTCCTCCTCCTCGCCCGAGCACAAAACTCAGATCTCAGAAGTCGGTCCGTCTCCACCGAATCGGCAAAGTACCCCCAGTAGAACGATCCACTCTGGGTCGATAACAGGGTCGGCTCCCGAAGCAACGAACCCCCGCCCCAGATGCTTCCTGGAGAGAAAACATGTGTCCACTATAAATAACTTTCAATTGTTCTCATTTTTTCTAAGTTCAGGGTAACTTAAGCAAAGGGAAATCAAAAGGGATAAAGAATGAGAATCATTTGGACAGGTATAGGCAGATAAGGTCGTTCGGGACAAAATGGGTAATTCTCGGGAAAAGCCCACATCCGTTTGTCCTTATCTGCTTTCTTTCAATCGGATTTATTTAGGACATGCATTGAATTGACATTTGTCAGAACAACAAGTCCTTATTGACATCCAGGTAGGTAAGAAGTAAAGGGAAAACAATCATTTTTCCTTCTCTCAAATAGACATAMTCAATCTCCTTTGCAAGCATCCTTCTACCTACCTGCACAACATGCATATAAAACAAGTTCAAAAGAAAACAGTACAATCCCAGACTCACGTCAGATCTTCCCATTCACATGCATGATTCGCACAACTTTCTCTACCTTTTCTTTCGAACGTTCAAACGAACAGGGTCAAGCAAAGTGTGGGTTCCCACAGGTGTGAAGGGATATCTGAATCATTCAACTGACCTTGAGTGAAGTGGCGCCGAAGAAGCACCCTGACTTGCTCAAGAAAACCAACCAACAAGCCGTGTGTGCCGCCAAAAGCTGTAGTCTCAAGGAAAACCCTGATCAAACCACCTCTCACTCGCACGCCTCATCCGCGGTAACCCAAGCGTGAAAATGACGAGTCGCATGCGTCCCAGAAAAAACACTCAATCTGGTACCACGTCAGTCCCAACTGGTCCCAAGCAGCCCCAGATGGTCCCACGTCGTTCCAGGTGGTCCCATGCTGTCAAACACTTCGTTGAATGACTATTGAGTCGAAAAACCGTTTCCGCCACAGTTCTAAAAAAAATAAAACGGTGCTGAATCTCAAAACCGAATGCGTCAAGACTGTTGCAAATGACAGTCCGCGTCCCACGTAAGTCCCAACTGAATCCAGGCAGTTCCAAGTAGTCCAGTCCCACGACCACAAATGTTGATTAGTCCCAACTACAAAATATTTATCTCATGTGCCGCAAAAAAAAATAAAAAAAATCCGCTTATCACGCTCATATTTCGTACCGTCGAACGCCGTCAACTGCCACCATGTCACGCTGTTGCTGCCGTACACACCAATGGTAGCAGACCTTCACCAAGAAAATCAGACGCCGCGCCGCAAAAAAGAAACTTTCAGCGTTGTAAAAAAAACCTTCACTGCCGCGCCGCATGTTTTACCGTCGTGTCGAACTCTTGTGGGAAAATGGGAGCACGTCATCGCACCGTGCCCCGTAAAGAAAAAAGAAAACGGCAGCGCTCCGCCGTGCCATACCACCGTAAAAAGACGGCGGCGCTTCTCCGTGTCGTACCACCGTAAAAAAACGGCAGCGCTTCGCCGTGTCGTACCACCGCAAAAAGACGGCGGTGCTTCGCTGTGCCATACCACTGTGAAAAAAACGGCAGCGCTTCGCTGTGCCGTACCACCGGTAGCGCTCTCGCACCACCGTCGAAAAAACCAGAACCGTTGCCGCAAAAGTTTGGCAGCGCTTCCGCACCACCGTCGAAAAAATCAGAACCGCAGCCACAAAAATCCGGCAACGCTTCCGCACCACCGTCCAAAAAAACAAAATCGCCACCGCAAAAATCCGGCAGCGTTTCTGCACCACCGTCGAAAAAAGTCTGCGTCGCCGCCGCAAAAGTTCGGCAGCACTTCCGTACCACCGCCGTAAAAAGTTTGTGCCGCCACCACAGAAATTTCGGCAGCACTTCCGTAGCGCTGCCGTAAAACCCCGTGCCGCCGCTATTGAATTTCGGCAGCACTTCCATTCCGCTGCTGTAAAAACCCGTGTCGTCGCCGCAAATTTTTGGCAGCACTTACGTACCGCTGCCGTAAAAACCCGTGCTGCCGCCGCAGAATTTCAGCAGCACTTCCGTACCGCTGCCGTAAAAACCCATGCCGCCGCCGCAGAATTYCGGCAGCACTTTCGTACCTCTGCCGAAAAAAAACAGCAGGTCAAAATTAATAAAATTTGGGTCCCAGACCTAAATCTCACTGTGCCGTACTGCCGTAGTCCCGCAGCGCCACTGGGTCTGACCCGTGGGACCAGCACCAACCAGAGAGGAGGGGAGCAAAGTGCTCCCTGCCAGAGAGGAGGARAGCAGAGTGCTCCCTGCCTTGGCTATGGCTGCCCAATTCGTCTCCTTGCGCTCCTCTACGGACCTCCAGCCTCTCCTCACGTTGCCTCAGGCAGCAGCTCCACCAACCAGCAGCACTCAATTGTGCTCGTCACACACTGCCATCACGAGTGCATTGTGTGGCAGCTGGGGGGCAGCTGCTTGTTTTATATTGGCTGAGGAGGGTTGGACGTCACTCCAGCCCCCAGGCAAATCGCGGGCTCACTGTAAGCCCTTGATCTGGYCAGGATCCAGGGTTGACTGKGGCCGCACCACAGCCACRGCCTTAGTGTGGGGCAGTTTTTTTAACTGCCCTTATTTTATTTTTCTTTTCTTTTCCCCAGYTATCTCRGAATCTCACGAGATAGCTGGGCTCCTGCCATTTCTAAATTTTTTTTTCTTTTATTTTTCTGATAAGGGGTTGGAGAGATACAACCCCTTTCAGTTTGATGTATCTGGACTATTTTCCCAGGACAGATACATCGGGGAAAAGGTTGTACTTAGCCTTTTCCTTTATGACCCTTCAAATTTCAGGCTCCCTTCAAAAACAGGAGCCTGACAGTTACCTCTGGCATCTTCTGCCAGAGGTAGCACCACGTGAGGACAAGTGTCCTTACACAAAATAAAGAAAAGAAAAAGAAAAAAGAATAAAGAAAGAAAAAAAGAAATAAGAAAAAAATTAACCCCCTTAACTCCAATGCTCCTGGCCGTGATTTGATCCAAGAGCATGCAGTTGTTGTCAACTGCCTGTCCCTTCCCTCTGCTGCTCTCCCCTGAAAACGGGGAGTACAGTTGTCAGATTGGGAGGAGTAGGGAAAGAACTCGGGAAAATTCACGAGTTCAAATCCTGACAGGCTCAGAACGGGATGCAAAAAGTACCCCGACTTTGMTGAATTTTAGAAAAATAATCGATAAAAGAACAAATCTAAAAAACTTCATGCACATGGCCTAGGTGCCTGACTATCTACAGAAAAAACATCAAGGCCAACAAAATTGTTTTACCCCACCAAAACAATAGTGGCGCAAACCGAAAAATATAGTTTTTCAAAAAAACTCAGATCTTGTTTTTTGTTTTCTTTTTCTTTTTTTTTTCTTCTTTTCTTTTCTTTTCTTTTTCTTCTTTTCTTTTCTTTTCTTTTTCTTCTTTTCTTTTCTTTTATTTTTCTTCTTACCCCCC